CTGTAACTCTGCTCCAGCTGCTTCACCAATCCAGCAGGTTCAGCCTACTCCACAACAGTGTGGTCCGTATGCTCAAGTCAGCGATGGGAAAGATGGTGATGGTGATGCTGTGTTGGATGCTATATTACTATTAGCCCTGCCAACAGCATCAGCAACACCTGCAGCAGTTACCTTGACTAATGCAACCACTGAACCAGCAGGAAGACGCGACCTGAAGCCAGCACCAAGAGTGACAAATCGCCTGCAGACTGTGGCACGACCAATTGGCTGCAAGGGTGATGCATCAGCAGATGGGAGCAATGCAGCACAGTGCGCACCCACAATGTCCCTGACCAGTGTTCCTTGCTCGTCCACAACTGCCAGTAGTCCATCCACTGCAGCCACTGTACGTTCAGGACGGAACCTTTTGTCAGAAAACAACATGTCCACCAAACCAACAGTAAGTGCCAATATTGGACAGCTCATAGCCAACAAAGGTGCTCCCAACCATGATGCTCCAGTTACCAAGAAAAGTGCTCCGATAGCCAACAAAGGTGCTGGGGTTGCGGCCATTGAAGCCGGACTGATGAACATGGACGCTGTAGCAACGAGTAAACGTTCTGCTGCTGTTGCAGCCGTGGCGAATGCAGATGACTATGACGATGATTTGGACTTCCTGCTTGCTTTGTAGTACAGCAGCAGCAGCAGCAGCAGCAGCAGCAACAGCAGCAGCAGCAGCAGCTTTGCTGTTTTCTCCTTTCCTGGTCTCAGACTATGCACATGCTGTAACTAACCCGTTGTTTATGCCTAACGGCATGAATCTCAGAGTTACAACCAACCTGAACGTTCTCCTGGTCTCAGACTATGCACATGCTGTTTTGTCCTTTCCTGGTCTCAGACTATGCACATGCTGTTTTGTCCTTTCCTGGTCTCAGACTATGCACATGCTGTTTTGTCCTTTCCTGGTGTCAGACTATGCACATCATGTGCTGTGACTATATAGGTAACCTATAGCTAACCTATGTGTATACTGCATGATAATCCTTCTATTTGCTGTTGTCGTTAGGAATCTTTGTTCTCACGCTGTGGCTGTTCATGTTCTTATTACTTGGAGCTGGTCTCCATTAATCTTTCGTCCAAATGCAGGCATTGGTCTGCATTGTCAATCACTATGTTTCTTTCGTTTGCTTATCTTGGTCGCGGGCACCTGTCCCTACTAATTTTATGGCCTTCACATGTGCACCATTAACAGTCTGCAGTGCTAGTACTACAAAATAACATACGTGCAATGACTATGTGCTCCTACACATTATAAAATCATGTAGTACATGCAACACTGTACAGTGTAAATTGGTGGTCTATCTCTTCATAGACAACACTTTTCGGGTGATCAGCAGCATGAACCAGTGCAGTGTGAACGGAACACCGAACGCGAAGTACATGTAGTTCTGACATACCGGTAGTCATTTGTTCGTCGCCTCTCCAGGTTTAGATCCACTTATTGGTTTGACTGAGGCGAGTGCGGAATGTCACACACTTTCTTTGGTTTGTCTCCCAAGACGAAGCCTCATGAACTCCGCTGCTTGTTGGTAGCTGACAAGACCGTGGGGAAAAGCGATACTGATAGCGATCAAGTGAAGACGACGAAATAGTAGATAATTATTATTGTAATTATTTGAAAATATTTTGAGGTGCTCTGTTCGTCTGACACCTACAAAATATGCTGCGTGGAGGCGATTTATTCCCTACAAATCAAAGACTACAATGAAGAATTGTCAGACACTGACGTCCGTCCCATGGCTTAGTCAAATGTTGTAAGAGTATCCGAAATAAGATGGATTGTCTGTGATCATGTGGAACAAATTTGACAAGACCAGTAGAGCGTGAATGGGTCCATCTACCAATGACATTGAGTTAGTAGTAGTAGGCTAACTGCTGCAAAGATTTATCTTTGAGGTCTGTGAAAGAAGGAAATTTCCAAAATACTGTACTAGAAACCAAAGTTTGCATTGAACGGCGATGCTCATTACTATGTGTCTTAGCCATTCGTTCAATGATTCTGTGACAACTCGTGTGCTGGACGAGCATTTGTTGTCATTGACTCAATTTCTTTTACTCTCCATAGGCTACTGCCACTACTGGATTGTTTTCCTTACTCGGTCTATTTATATCAGTATCTACATGTAGTATGAGAGTGTGGTGTGTCTCTATGGTTACTGGTGTTCGGCACACCCGGTACCCGGTTCATGTTCGCATGTAGTAGAGGTGTTGGCGGATAATGCTCGGTAATATGGGATATAATGCTCTCAGTAATGCTCCACAAAAGGCCATATAATGCTTCAAATAATGCTGATAATGCTCCGCCGGATGGAATATAAACACCTGAACCTTGCGGTATTGGGCTAAGAAAAACGCTATAATAATTGCACCCATGCTATGATAAACACATAATACAATATCAGGTAAACATATACGCTAGGTACAAACACATACAATAGGTCAGGGTACATGACATCCTTTACTTTTATCAAGGCAGCTCCGTTAACAGCAGCACCATCTCGCGTTGCGGCTATTAGCATGTCGGGGGGCAATTTGATATTGCGTTGACAGGCAGGTGATGAGTTCCCTTGCCAATTGGGAGCCGTTGAGGCTCTTTGCCAGGACGTGAAGACGGATGAGGCGCTGCTGGAGCGACCAGCTTGAATCCACATATCTTATCACTATTACCAATGCCTCCCCAAGGTGAGTGCTTCCATCAAATACTACGGAACTAAACCGGGCCTCTGTCAGTTCTTCCTTCAGCTGCTTCACTTCCTCCTCTAGGAGGAACGGCATGTAGAGTGACAAGTGGCTCGAGTCAGTCAATCTTTCGTTTCTGTCAGACTCCAAAAGCGGTAGTAAGTAATCAACCTTTGCGAGTGGGATTCCTGCTTGCAACATAGAACGCACAATCTGGATCCGCTGCTGAGACTCGGCTGAACTAACGGCCTCTGGCTCAGTAAGACCGGTGCCAGCTAGAGCCTTCCCAAGTCGTTTCTGATACGCCAAGAAGGACTCCTTGACCAGCTTCTGCCTCTGAGTTTCCCTCTCCGAACGGGACTTTCCTTGTTTGTGTCTCGCGGTAGCAATATGGGACATGATTATACTCTTCTTCCCTGACAATGTTATATGGCATGCCAGGCACACTAACTACTTGCCACAGTCGCTTTTGAGCGGCTCATCTGCGAACTCCCGCACCCGTGTTTCGGCACTGATGGCCACTTTAGTGCTCTGTCCATGAGCTACTCGCGTCCTTTTGGAAACATTTTCGGACTTGGTAATAGCTGTTTTCTGAAAAGACCGCTTCCTTGCTATCGCGGCAGGATCTGCAGTTTCCAACTCGAGGACGTCACTATCATCACTACATCAGAGGACTCCGCCAAAAGCTCATCTGGAGAAAGCTCAGCTTCCTCCCAATCCCAAGAACGGCATCGCGGCGAGTCAGCCATCAACGTTGGCTGCTAGTTAGCTGGTCTTACACAATGGTCAATGTCCGGTGAAAGTCCAGCGTTACTCTTCGGCAAAGACATGGACTCTTGCTTTGATGAAAAATATTTTTTATAACATTGTGGACGGTACCCGGGTAAGGTCTGGAATGTGTGCGTGTGCGCACCTCCACCGCTCCATGCTGGCTCACATTTTGTTTCGTTGGTTCGGCGTTGTTACCTGGATCTTCAAAAAGTAACAGTTGCTGACCGAAGATAGTAATACATGTTGCCAATCAATGACCAACGCTATAGCCGATCCTAATCTGTTCATGACGAATTGACGATGTGTGTAGATCTACTATGCAGTCATGTAGAACGTCGTATAATGCCATTTTTGGCCTCGTAATGCTTTATAATGCTCGTAATGCTCCGGGTGGTATATAATGCTCGATATAATGCCGGCATTATCCGCCAACACCTAATGTAGTATGTTGCAAATAAAGATGCTCTTGTTTGTTGCTGATAGAAAGATTGCCACTTCCCTAATTTTGTTTCGCCATTATGCTTTTCTTTTGACCACTATAGCCACTTCTCCTTGTTAATGTTAGACCTTATCTGGAAGGCCCATTCTTGCATATTCAAACAGCAGCCAAGGGAGCTAGCTCTCTTGGTTATGCTGGTACTGGTAGAAGGACTGGGTCCGAGGGTGATCCAGAGGATTTCCTGTGGATATGAGATCCCCTCAAAGTCAAACTACACTTTGTAGGGGAAATATCCGTAGATCACCTGAAAAGGGTGGTCTATCATGGTCTATGGCTATGCCCGGCACATGTGCATATATGCGCGTCACTACGGTAGTTGTGGTTCACGTGCACAGCGGGAAGGGGTGTATTTTTAAAAAGTAGGCTTTCCACACAAATCAGCCCGTTTTTAGTTACACAACAAAAACAAAACAAAAACCTCTTCTTCACATAAAAAATAATGAAATAAAAAAATAGCTGCTGCTGTTTGAAGTCCGAGTGTTTACTTTCTCCTGAATCAATGACTCAGGACGAGCTGTGCGGAGTTGATCGAGGAGCACGGCAGTCTTGCATTGCTCAGCACTCGACATATGGCTGGCACATCCAGCTGTCGACATAATTGTGGGTCGTCAGAAATGTCTACCTGAACGATACCATTTCAAAGATTTTTTTCAAAAAGAAAAGCAATATCCGCCGATTTGACCTACATTTTGTAATCATTCAGGGCAAATGAATCGTGCAGTCGATATTGCTGTCCCGGACATGTAAGTTTGTTACCGGCTGCAAACGCATGGCTCAGTTGTGTGAAACGTCTCTGTTCGACTTGCCTGTGGACGACATATTGTTCGAGAGAATATTGCCGCAGTTGACCGTGACTCAGCTGTGGAGATGTCGTCTGGTATGCACCTGGTTCCATGCTGTGATCGAGAGATACTTGGAGTGCTGTCACAGCGTGGACTGGTCTGTGGACATACCTGTGCACCTGAATGAGAGAGTGTTCCGTCTGGTGATGGCCAAGTCCCAGCACCTGATCTCGCTGTGTGTTCATGGCTGCCGCGAGTGCTTCACAGACCAAAGCCTGGACATGATCACGGCGAACAACGCGGCGCTCAAGCGCGTGGATTTCGGCCACTGCACGCAGCTCACACCGCGCTCACTGCTGACACTCCTGAATGCAAATCGTCAGCTGCAGTGCATTGACTTCAGCGGCATAAGATCTGTATCCGCAGCGGTATGTCAAGGCATTGCGCTCTGGTGTCCACGACTGGCCGTACTGAAACTGGACGGAGCGTGGGATGTGGACAGCCGTTGCGTAGTGACAATATCGGCGGCGTGCCCCAACCTGCGCCGCCTGTCCTTGCAGAACTGCTACGCCGTCAACAACGATGGCCTGTTCGAGGCGGCGCCACGGTGGAAGCAGCTGACGTCTCTCGACATCCGTGGTTGCTGGCGTGTGTCCAACGACGGAGTGATGTCGCTCACGCAGCATTGCCGTGAGCTGCGCGAGTTGTTCGTCGCCGGCTGTCGGGACATCAGCGAATCGAGTCTGTTCGCCCTGCGCCGACGTCAGGTGCGTATTGATGTTGAGCTGCCCCGCGGTCTGCATGTCGGTGCCAGGGATATCTATCGCAAGCTTGCCTTCGTTCAAGTTTGAGAATCACAGTACTGTTGGTCGCTGAAGAACTGGGGGGGGGGGGGGGGGGGGGGGGGACTTGTAGCCTAGACCGCTCTTGTTTTCATTTACTAAAGTCTATGCACAGTTGAGTCACCGTGTATGCATTGGCATGCTGTACAGTCTATGCACAGTTGAGTCACCGTGTATACATTGGCATGCTGTGCAGTCTATGCACAGTTGAGTCACCGTGTATGCATTGGCATGCTGTACAGTCTATGCACAGTTGAGTCACCGTGTATGCATTGGCAATTTGGCATGCTGTGCTTGGTGAAGTCCTAGCCTGCTTGTTCTTCGGCGCTACCCGACAGCACTGTGATACACGAGACAGCACAGCTTCTAGTGAACATAGTTGAACCAAATACTTCGAGTACCTGGATTTTTTTAGAACTTTTAAACTCCAATGTAGCCTTGTCGTCTCTCAAATTATCGTCCAGCGCGCCACAGGTGCATAGTCCTTGGCTACGCCACGCAGAACCACTGTATCCTAATTTTCAACCAGGAGGGTATCACCAGGGATATCGGGGGAGATATTCGCTTGGAAAATTGGACCGAGTGAGTGTTCAAGGCTTTGCACTCGATCGCTTTTTGACGTGCAGCATTATTTATTGTCCTTGGCTGTATACTTAGTAACTAGTACACAGAAGTCAGTAGTTTAGGACAGTGTTATGTTGCAATCAAACCATGCCGCTACCCTATGCAACTCTGACAACATCCTCACAATCTGTACGATTATATCATTGAGCCTGCCGAAGAAAGTCTTCCCCGGCAGTTGCATGGCTATGGCTCACTAAACGTCATACGGAATGCATATCATGGATATTGCTACCTCTTCGTCTTCGGTCACCGTACGCCAAGCAGATCGTGGATATTGCTTGCGACCTTTTTCGTCCATTCCCTTGAGATGAAATTCTTGAAATTCTTGAGTACTGCATTGATTATTATGAACACGGTGATCGATGTGTGAACATGTGTACTTGTTTCACATCAACTAGAGACCTGCCATAAGGCATGGTGTAGATATGCAACTCCCAACAGTGTATAGCTCCTAATGGGCAGGTGTCACAATTCCTTTTTCAGAATTACACCAGTGTTCACGAAGTAACCGGCTGCCACGAGATGGGATATCGACTTCGTGCAATGCACTTGTTTGTGCAGTCAGTCTAGCTTGAGCATTCATATACAGTGTACTGTAATTTCACAAATTTTCGGTGTACTTTTATTTTCGGTACTTTCGGTGCGTCTGTTTCATACCTAACATTTCGATACAAACACCAACACCCATAATCCAACAGGGAATTTCCCCTCTGTACCTAAAATTTCTGTTCACCGAACCTGGACTTTTGCCCTCACACCGAAAATATTGAGCACCTAAAATTTCTGAAATTGGTGTACACTATAGACTGTGTACTTGACGCAAACAGTCCTGTTCAATGAAATCCAGTCGCGTCACTCAAGTTGGCGCCTTGCACCATTTCGCAGCCCAGTGTTCGCAGGTCTAGGGCTGTACAAAGCCCGGCGCCTACCGTTGAGTGACACGACTGGATTTCATTGAGCATGCAGTACTGTACTGAAGATCGCTGCATCATGCATGCTGGTCGTGTCTTGCCGCTGGCCTGTTTGCAACGTACATATTTGTATTTTGCGGTCGATCAAATTTCGCTTATTTTTCGTCGGCTGATGTCGATCAGGGTGATGAAATGTGCGAAGACTCCCCCTGTTCAATGTTCATCCTAGTTTGGACTCATGCAATAATGGGAGAAATGTCTGTGTATCCCACAGACGGTGAATTCTTAGACCGGGAGATTGAAGGGAGCTGCATGCATGAATACATGTATCTTATTTTTTCCTTTTTGAATCTGCTAGAATTACTTCAGTATGACTGTTTCTTGTTCGAACTCGTAGCATCGATGGCTGCCAAGCGTCCTGAAAAAACAGGCACAGAGCAATAATAAGCTAAGAGTCATGCACAGTCCATTGACTACTGTCAACATTCACTGCTCGAGTAGTACTGAGTACTCGCACCCAGACAAGTGCCTATCGATGTACAATCAACTTTGCGTATACATGTAACGAGACTCGGCGGGGCATCAGAAAAGTGTCCTTATTCGCGAAGTGTCCATATACCCGAAGTCTCATTATATGTATTACAGTTAGATGGGACTTTGCTCTGGGCATGAGAATTCTGTCGTTATTAGCGAAGTTGACTGTACATTTAGTATAGCTGTGCCTGTTTTGATGCTGCATAAGAACTGATCATATGTAACATATATGTGCCACAGCCAGCAACATCATGTCTTAGCAGTGGCGTGCACCGACTCTTGAAAGGGGGGTTTCTAGAGTTGGTAAAAAAAATTCTGGAGACCCACTGTATAATTATGTATTTGTGCACATGCGCATCCCCCGAACATCCCGTCGGAGATAACGGCGAAGGCTAGGGAGGAGGCTAGGGGGGGGGGGGGGACTCAACATCAGGGGTGCAGGGCACCAATGAACACTGGTGCTGATGAGATGCGGGGCTCTTCCGACTGCTATCATCAGATCATGCCGGCACAAACGCGTCTGAGAGGGCACCAGGTACAGGGGTAGAAAGGACAGAAATAAGAGTAATGAGGAATGGAGGGCTAGGGAGGGGACGATGTTACATGGAAATGTTGGTACATGTGCATGTATAACCGGTAGGAGGATAAAACGGGTACGGGTTACCTTTTACATACCAGCACTTCAAAAAGTATTTGCAAAGAGGGTGCAAAACTCAATGTACTCATATACATGTACATGTTTGTCATATTGAACCCGTAAAAGTTTGATAGGCCTAGCCGCCCACGCTACATGTATACAGTCTATAAGTATAACACCATGTCTGGTACTTCACTAGTCCACTCCATGCAGGCATGTTTGTTACATCAAAACACTGCTTACATTCGACGTATCTTTCTTTCTGTTCTTATGACGAAGTTTTCGGCATGTATTGGCAATGTTCCACATGATTTCAATAAAGAGTTATGGACCTTGCTTCGATGGAAGCTCGCGGGAGAAAAGCGAAGCCCCGCGTCCTTGAGTCGCGGCCGGAGCAGCGCTTCGTTCTGAAGCAGCGCAAGTGGATCAGGGACGCACATTTTTTCGTCTTCCAGTCGACAACGTTTTTTACGAACATCTCTGCTGCGCACATGAGCGAGAACGAAAGGCTATCATCTTGATTTGAGTCAACAGTTTGGAAGGAGATATCGTCAATCATATCCTTGAACTGACTTGCATCGCGCGTGCTTGACTCAAATTTCGAGACAAAACGGATTTCTTGAATGTCATCGCCAATCCAGGAGCGAACCAGAGCTAGAGATCGATCTCTCTGTGGCTACTCTCCACTGAAGAAAGAGAGAATAATGTATTTTGAACTGCATGCAAAGCAACTCTCTCTCTCACTTCGAAATAAGGACATAGTCACTGTACTGTAAACTGCCCGTCGATCGACGTGGATGCACGATAAGCAATCCAATAGGCTTTTCCTTTGGCAAGATTGCCCGAAAAAAGGTGGTTTCCAGACACCAAAAAACTCATACGGTGCACGCGCCTGCTTAGAGTGGCAATTTGTCAAACAAATTTCCACTTTGCTCTCCAGCTGCTTGAACTAGACCGCGAAAACAAGTGTGAGAACGAAGTCCGACAATATACTTATCCGCTCCGGTTGACGTTGAGGAATGAAGCACAGCGTGGATATGCTTTACGGAAACAATTCTTCATTCTGTCATGTCTCAAATGTTTTACGAAACCCCAGACGTGTTTTAGCTGACTTCGGCCCATATGTACATGCTCAAGAAAAAGGTGTAGTGTTCCAAATGGGAAACCCCCTCATGCTCAGAGACACTGATCAACTTAATTATTATTACACAAGAACAACAACATCTAGCATGTTAAAATGAACAGCCGGGCCAATGCCGCTCAATGTTGCCTGTTTACCTGCAAGAAAATAAAATACGGCGTATGTAGCCTACGGCTATGATCTCTATCATAAAATGCTAAATAGTTCATCCACTCCCGGGGGAGTCTGAATATATTACTACATCAGTCGCATTGTCTTTGTTCTACTTCATGAGATTTGGCATATTACTAATATTATTTGGCTGTATTTGCCTTGTGCTGTGTTGTACAAGCCTGTTGCGATGCCCCGCATTGAGCGAGATACGCTACGCTCAAAGCTCAGGTTGTGAAGCTCATTGAGCAAGTCATGCTCCGCTCAAAGCACAGCTTGTGGTGTCTTTGGAGCAGCTACTCGTGCCACCACGCTCAAAGCACTGCTGGCCAATCCCTCCGTGCATATGCTGTAGAGATGTGAATGGCTGCCACGACTTGAGGAGAGGCAGCAGACCATGCACACTCGGACAAACACGGATGAGCATTGTGGTGAGAACAGGATTGCCGGATCGGGCACTCCTCTGTAGTCAGTGGCAAGCTTACTCAATGCTACAGTCGCCCGACTGGCAACTGAAGCCCACGCAGCCACGCAGACGCCGGCAGTCAACCACTGCAACGCAATTGGAGTACTTTCTGGAGAACACCATCCCTCCATCCATAACCTGCCAGAAAAAGGGGGGGGGGGGAGGGGAACACACATGAAAGACATCACTGCTTACACTCAGACAATCCATGCATCGATGGGAGAGGGGGCTTGAAGGCACAAACGTTTTAAAGTTGATGACAGTTTGCGGGCATGGACACCAGAGGGTTGAATGCCATACATGTGCAGGGTCTGCACATTCTAATACATGTAATAATATTTTTTCTTTCAAATCCACCAGTTGTGAAATCATCTTACCTGGGGTGGTTCGATAGGTATGCCGTATTTCAGGTCGTATCTGGATGACGGAAGCAAATGCACACATATGTACAATCATGTACGTAGCGTGTACACATGTACACATATACATGCATGCACATACATTTACATGCGTGTACACACATTCATGAACACACATACACATACACACATACATGCATGCACACATGTGTACTTATGCCCATATGTATTCTGGACATTCGTCATTGTCAATTTGTTCGTCACTACATATTGGGTACTTGGATCCGGAGGGGGGGGGGGGGGGGGGGGGGCTGAAAACAGGGCTGTTTTGTGCATGTGTGTGATTCTACTGTTTTGATATTTCGTAACACATTCAAGTGTGAAGTAAGGCCTGGGACTTTATTAAAGATGTACAGAAAACCTGTGACTACCGGCCACCCATTTGGGCCAGAGAAAGCGGTCTTTAGTGGTAGGTGGTCCTTAGTTAGAGGTTTGCACCGCACAACCATAATTATATGAATGTGGGACCGTCCGCGCCTGGCGAAGTGGTCTGTAGTACCAGGCTGGTCGCTAGCCACGGTGGTCTGTAGTACCAGGCTGGTCACTAGTCACGGTGGTCTGTAGTACCAGGCTGGTCGCTAGCCACGGTGGTCTGTAGTACCAGGCTGGTCACTAGCCACGGTGGTCTGTAGTACCAGGCTGGTCACTAGCCACGGTGGTCTGTAGTACCAGGCTGGTCACTAGCCACGGTGGTCTGTAGTACCAGGCTGGTCACTAGCCACGGTGGTCTGTAGTACCAGGCTGGTCACTAGCCACGGTGGTCTGTAGTACCAGGCTGGTCACTAGCCACGGTGGTCTGTAGTACCAGGCTGGTCACTAGCCACGGTGGTCTGTAGTACCAGGCTGGTCACTAGCCACGGTGGTCTGTAGTACCAGGCTGGTCACTAGCCACGGTGGTCTTTAGTTACAGGTTTTACTATAGATGTCATGAGGGGTAGTAAGTATTCACAACAGAGGGAACAGTTATAAGTCATCACTCCCATGAGGGGAAAATGATAGTGTCAAATAGGAAATTGTTTGCTCCTACTTGGACTGGAAGTACATATAAGTGGAGCTCACCTCTCCTACCAAACTCCAGTATTTTACAGGTTAAACGTCGACCGTGATTATAAGTCGACGCCCACATACTTGGGGCCTTGATTTCCCAAGGGCAGTAAGACTCGTGTTCTGCGGATACCAGTAACAGCCATGTGCCAGCGAAGAGTGTCAACTACACATACCGTGTATTACAAGTTAGACGACGACATTTTATGACCTAAAAGACGAACTTGAAAAGGAGTACCCAGCGGTCGACCTACTACTGGATTTTAAACACCCTTTGGGAAATCGAGGCCCCAAGTAAGGGGGGGGGGGTGGGGTCTAACTGCCCTTTGGGAAATCGAGGCCCCAAGTAAGGGGGGTTGGGGTCTAACTGCCCTTTGGGAAATCGAGGCCCCACAATAATGCAGTACAATACAATACCGGTACAGCACAATAAAAGCTGTCAAGGCGACCACTCGGATAAGGCGACCACCTGTCGTAGAAGACCACTTCAACCAGGACCAAGGGATGCTATTCCAGTCAAATACTGTATAGCAGGAAATTTTCGGACGGAATTTATTATACATGCGTACTGAATGCAAACACGTGTATTTAGCATGCAGCACTGTACGAAAATATAATCCGTACGAAATGTCGAAATTCGGCTTTGTCCGAAAATATTTCCGTCCGAAAATTTCCTGCTATAGAGTAACCCTGGATAAGGAGACCACCTGGTAACAGAGACCATCTTGTGAAGGTCCATTGAGCGGTCGTCTTAGACAGGTTTCGCTGTGCAGTAAAACCTGGTGTAAGCGACCTCTGGGTTTAGGGACCACCTGCTCTTAACGACCATTTTTCCATGCACCGACAGTTCTACACTGGCACTGTGGGACCTGGTTCTAAAGATCACCTGGCTTTGACAACCGATTTGCTTGCACCGTGGGGTGGTCGCTTAAACCAGGTTTCACTGTACATAGATGTGTACTCACTCCTGATGCCAGCTCCACTCGCTGTCCTGCCAACCGGAACTGGAGCCGAAGTAACTGTACTCCATTCGTACAATGAGAAAGGCCGGTATGGCAAGAGAAGATAGATTACCACCCGGGCCAGTGTGTGCCCAGAACAGGGTGGGGATTTGGGAGTAGACCTGCACGTGCGCACATACACACACACACACATACACATACACAACCGCATACACACACACTCACACACACACACACACACACACACACACACACACACACAAACACACACACACACACACATGCAATAGATACATACATTGAGGAAGAACCCGGCAAAGGGTAGGGTCATTTTGAACTCTGAATCATGCCTCTGTAAAAAATGATCAACTATGCTGCCATCCTCACCAAATTCCCCAATACTGTAGCATACTGACTAACTCCAAAAATCAAAAGAGTTTGCTGGAGATCCCCAGGATCTCGGGAGTATTGATGATTTCCTGTGATTTTCCCGGGGAAAAACAGGAGGGTTAACCTGTATGAAGACTGTAGTGCTTGTGGAAAGGCACGCCGCACTAACAGTGGTGCAAGCACATCATGTACACGTCACACAACCAATCATATCATGGGCCGTACTCTTTTCACAGAGCTTTGCTGCAGCATAACATGTAAGTGTATGTGTCCAGAGAAAGCTTTCTCCTTTTCTTACAATGTAGGTCCTACTCCCCCCCTGTACGATCGAGTCACTCATTGCTCTTTTCATTATCATGGTAAGAAGATTCCAGCCCCCACCCCCAACATTTAACCTGCACTGTTAATGATAACGGAGGGTAGGGTCTGGCTATAGAAAAATGGGTTTGCAAAAATGTGAAAGTCCCTCTGCCATTCCACCACCGTCTGGCTAAAGCTGTTGTCTAGCTCTGGTACTAGCCCCCTAATCCTGGCTCTTTCCCTAGCCTTAGCTTTCGTCTTGGATCGCGCTCAAGATCTGGTCCTTCCCCGGCCCTAGTCCTGTCTTTGTGGCTCAGGGGCACAGCTGATCCCCCTTTTAGGGGGTGCACGGCTGCATATGTGTAGGATGGCTGGTGCATGTCATTCATTGTCATTATGTGCATGCTAAACCAACCTAGGTCGAAATTTGTAAGCGGGTGCACATGCCCCCCCCCCCCCCCCGTGCCCCATGGGGGCTACGCGCCTGTTGCCCCTGGTTCTGCCCCTGACCAAGGTCCTTCCCCTGGCCTTAGCCTGGGGGCATGGAACCAAGTACCAGGGTTGGGGCTAGCATTAGAGCCAGTACCAGGGGTAGGATCTTAAAAAAAAGGTTTAGGGCCAGCTGTAGAGCCAGGGCTAGGACCAGAGCATGGCCATGAACAGGGCTAGGGCCAGGGCACAAGACCAGCGGCAGAGCCAGGGCTAGGGCTAGAGCAGGGCTATGAACAGGGCTAGGGCCAAGGCTCAAGACCAGCGGCAGAGCCAGGGCTAGAGCAGGGCTATGAACAGGGCTATGGCCAGCTCCAGAGTCAGGGCTTGGGCCCAAAGCCAGGGGCAGAGCCATGGCTATGGTCTAGGCCCAATGATTGGGGCAGAGACATATTCTTACCTCTTCTAATGTGCTCGTCATGAATTCGGAGCAGCCTTGCGGAGTTGCCTGCGAAACAGGCCGGTCGAAGATCGCCTCGCGAATGAAGCCGACGTCGTCACCAAGGTTATGCAGCACACTCTCCTCCGGCAGGATGCAACCGTTGCTCGTCGTGTTGAAGCGACTGCTCATGCCTAATATGGGCATCATGCCGTTCTTGTTCATAAGCTTGATGACGTCACTGTACATCTTGAGACGCGCCGCGTACATCTCGGAAATCGTCTGCGCCGAGTAGTGCGCTGGCAGCGATGTGTTCAGCGTGCGCAGGCAGCCCTCTCCGTCAAAGTCGTCGAAGAACACGCCCTGCACGACTGGGTACTCGGACAGCACCTCGCCGATGGTGTCCTGAATGTAGAACATCTGTGCAGAGCTGTTCCGCCAGTCGAACATCAAACTCCACAGGTTGTAGTCCGGCAGCGACGTGTTGTACAGACCTCCCTGGTCGTCCAGCACCCACCAGTACGGCTGAGTGTGGATGTTCTCCGCCGGCAGACGCGACCAGGCAAAGTTGCTGAGCGCGTGAAAGGACTGCCGATAGACGAAGCAGACCAGCGACGGGTTTCTCAGCTTCAGCACCAGACACTGGTCGTGCAGGGATACCTCTTCACGGTCCGAGGAGTTCAGAACATTATGCAGGCCGTCGATCACCAGTAACGAGTACCTCAAGTCACTCTCTACGGACGCTTCGCTCTCCATTCCGGTGATGTTCTGCGGGAACTTATAAGCCGGGAATCGTTGCCAGTCGTATGTCCAGGGGGGTATAGGCCGGCGTGCAAAGCTGTTTGGAATGAAATGCGGCTCGAACGGGTGCCAGTGGAAGTGCTCGAGGAGTTTGAGCAGCTCGGCTACAGAGCTAGCACTACTATCTGTTTCATGTTCGTACTCTTCACGGACATATCTGTACTCTGCTGTGTCTGGCCTTGCATCTATGTCATCACTATAGGGGTAGTGAGGCTGCCGATGCTGCGACCATAGAGCCCTACTGCTCTGCACTGGGCGCAGCAGCACTGGCAGAAGAAGTGCAATCCACACTGCCTCCAGCGCGGGCTGTGTGTGCGTGTGCCCTTTCAACATGGTCTTACTGGTGTGAGAGCGAGTGAGCACAATGGTGCTGTCAATAGGGGAAAGCACTAAGCAGTGAGTTGAATACAGGCTGGATTAGCGCGCAGTTCCGCACAGTCCACATCCAGTCTGCGCGCTTGGGTTTGTTGCAGATTCGACACCGTACAGGCAGCCTTTCTGCCCTGTTCTCAGTATAATCACCTCCACCGGCTTCTTCCCGAGTGAGGATGGGATATTTTGTAGCCAGCGCTAGCAACCGGGTAGATATCGATGTCCAAACTTTGTCATGAATACAAGTCTCAGTTGCACATTACCCGCTAGAACCGCGGTACTTTCACCATCAGCCTCTCAAAGCCCCTGTCACCTTCGTCGTCCTCTCCTTTCACCGAGAGGATATCCTTTCTTCACTGCGTGTGGGAAATCCGGTGGCCAGCACGTTATGGACCACATACAGCGCTAGCAACAACACATATTCCGTGTTAGAATTCTCTAGATTCCCTCCACAGCCTCCGTAAAGAACCAGCGTCAATATCAAAATACAGTGATAGGGGAAACGATGATTGTTGTTTACTTGATGAAGCAATTATTTGCTGCCCTGCCCAGCAACTCTCTCTCCATTCATCGTTCACGTCCTGGTCCGCATCGCATGGCTCGGAAAGGAATTCACGTGATAGACACATGAAGGCAGAACGTCACTTGTTTGAACATGATCACATGTCTGCTGCCAGCATACACTCAGCCGATTTGAAAGTCCTTTATACTCAGACAGACCTTACTCCGCAGACCAAGTCCATAGTACATGTGTAGACCTAGGCTAGAGATAGAGTAGAGGTAGATCTACCCACCACAGACTCAGTGATCACCTGACTGATGTGTCCGTGCTCCACCCAACGCTCAACAAGATTAGTCAGGATTTGGAACAGCCGGAGGCACCGTCGACACTGACTGAAATCAGTGTCATGATGATGATGAGTAGACTGTAGACCAGGTATGAGGTAGACTCACTGATAGTAGGCCGTACTACGGTAGGAGTCGAGTGGGCATGCCCTGGTCTCCCAAACACCCCTCGAGAAATAAATATCCGAAGTAAAAAATTTCTTTCATTCTAGCACTGTACTGCTGGACAACCAGCCTGAGGTGACTTCGTCGAGATTATTCGTAGATCTACCCGGCATTGGATGAAGCAATACTAGTTACTAAGTCGATCGATTGTTGGCAACGACGAAGATCGCTAGCAGTATTCTGGTCGAGGTCATCGCAGCAGCGTTCTACTCGCGCTGAACTACACCATTGCGTTTGAAAGCAGGCATTGAACTTTGAACCCGGCGAGACGAAAATGATTGGAAAAATCTCATCCTGGCTTCTGTACTGTTTCGTGGTAGATCTACTGGTCAGCTCTCCATCACCGCACTTACTCATGGCTGAAGCACGGGTGGCGAGCAGCAGCAGCAGCATCCCGAAAACGTTCGTCTGGGACGGTGCAGCGCTGGCAGCAGCTAGAGAGCGGGTGATGGTCCATTCGGACCCGGAGCTCATGCCAGCGGTCAAAAAGATCACAGCGGCGGCCGCTGAGCTGTTTGGTCAGGGAGAAAAGTAAGTCACTACACTGCTAGTCATAGGAATATGATTATGATTGTGTAGATCTACAAGCTCAGTGATTATTGTAATAGCATTCCCTTGCCCCCCCCAGGCTCCGAAAGGTTCTGCTCGCGAAACCATGGAATTATGCTTTCATGGATGCTCGCATTATGCTCACAAAATCCTATTCATGCTTTGGCATGCGGGGATAATATATTATTATTCACTTTGTTGTACTTAGGGACCGTCCGCAAATGCATGTAATTAGTTAGAGACGTCTAACAGGCGTTTCTGGTGGGTGGATTCGCCTGCAAGGCGTTTCTAAAAAAACCAATTTCGGAGTACATGTACATGCCTACCATACTGCGCGTGTACATGTACATAATGGCTACATAACCAAAATAACTATAATAATTATAGTTATTTCGAACGCGCTGCGCTGCGCAGCGCTGATGAGTTCACAAAGAACGAAACAGCATGCTGTCCGCAGATTGAGTTATTTTGAATACCGTATTTTCCCGAATATAAGTCGACCTTCTGTGCGCCAGAAACTTCGCCAAAAGCTGGGGGTCGACTTACAAACGGAACTCGACTTACATACGGGAATCTGGCACAACAAATGAAGTGACTGGAGTGTCCGTACAAAAATGCACTACCGTACGAACCACAGTGGCAGTTAACATTGAATAAACATTGGATGACACTGGTTTTGTTCAGATTTTGTCTTACTGGCATGATATGATCTCTCCTCGCAGAGAATTCATCATTCCGTATGTGTGGGTGTCATGGAGCTATAAAAACTTTTTTTCATGAAATTGACTCCTGGATTTGGGGTGGTCGACTTATATTCGGGAAAATACAGTGTTATTCTGGTACTACAGTGCACTGCACACGTCACGGCAGCATAGATAGGGACACATACATGTAACTGTTCGCTATAAAGGGTCAATTTTGCATGGGTTAAAACAGGGTCATGTACAAGGATTCGCTATAGCACGAATTTCGCTATATGCGAATTTGTTATAAGTAGAGTCGACAGTACTATAATTATGTGTGCATAAAAAAATAAAAAATAAATTTCACGGTTCGCGTCAGACTCGGTTTCTCTATATAGAGGCCGAGTTTTCCGCATCCGTAAGAACGCCACCACCCTTCAAGGATCAAGGCTCAGATGCAGCTCCTAAAGCGGTGGGGGGTGAGTAGATCAGCTCACCAGCATGTGGTCAAAGACCGAAAATCCCATTCACTGCACCCATGTTTTCCTCGTGCCAGGCCACGAGTTCCCAATTAACTGTGGGTCGCAGCACGGCTGGAAAATATCCTTCCGCTTCCAAGCAGGACTTGAACCTGGTACCCTCTGTTTCTCAATCATGGTCTCCGACCATCCCACTATGCCTGCATAGTATAGTGTTGAGTATGAGTGGTATTATCTTCATCTTTGGGTGTGTTTCCGGGCGTGGGTGGGTTGGTGAAGAAAGAAAACCTGCCTGTTAGACGTCTCTAAGTAAACACATGCAATTACGGACGGTCCCTTATCGACCCTCAAAGTTCGGAAAATTGTGCGCTTTTCGTACTGGCAAGTGACCATAAGTACAACAAAATACATGAGTATCCCTATGCCAAGGTGTCCATGCATGCCTTTCATTTGTTGACTTCTTTTGTAAAAGATGTTTTCATTGCCAAACTAGTTTGAGTTACCTTTGAAAATCATCATGTTCAACTGTCTTCGTAGTCGTCATACTCGTCCACCATATCAACCTCACCCTGCGAATAATCCGCCCATCTCTCCTGCAGCTCCACCTTGCCTTCCATCATGACCGAACATCAACTATGCCTCCTAAATTATACATGGTTATGAGTGCACAATTGATATTTTTCATTGCTATTTTACGACTGTTGTCTCCTCGTCGGTTATTTAAATTGTTAATTGTTTGAGTACATGTAATATCCACTGAATCAAGTGCATACATCGGTATCGATATTTGCAATGGAAATTGTCGATAAGATTATAACCTGCACAGCCATGGCTGCTAAAATGCAGAGGTCATGACTCCGTATCATCAAGAGTCCATAACCCAAGAGTATGCAACTGTGATCTCTTTTCTATGGGCCAGATGCGCGGCGCGCTGCCTTCATTACATCATTCAGCTACAGTCCGCGCACTGCGGAAAATCAAACACCGCGCCTTCCCTCTGGTTTGAAATGAACTTTCGTACGGAACTGGAGTTCACGCGCCATAACTCAGAGATCGCGTAGGTACTGGAACGAATCGGGCAAAAACGGATGGGCTCGTACGAGAAATTGTGAGTTTGAGTGCATGCTTTCAGAGCGGGATGAAGGCAAGTTACGTAATGAAGGCAACGCGCCGCGCATGCACCCATAATCACAGTTGCATACTCTTGGGTTATGGACTCTTGGGATCATGCATAATGTGGATGTACACAGACTTTTGCGGACTACCCGTCGATATCTTGTCTGCCCTGAGACACCTGAAAAAGGCTGATTCACGCGCATCTTCTGCTACATGTGCTGTATCAGCGTGAGAAAGACCTTTGAAGAAGACGGGTTCGAGCATACAACAATGTATTTCCATGATTCCCGAGTACTCTGCTATCCACTGAACACTCTGTCTCTATGACCTCCGAACCCTGTAAATACAGACCACCAGCACTGGTCCGGTGCATTGTACACGTGCAGCCTACACACTAGAACTGAAGCACTACCAGGTAGTTACGCTCCTACCTCCGAAAGGATACCAAATTATGTTCCAAATTGTCAACCACGAAATTATGCCTATAATTACACCGACATAATCCGCCGGAGCCTACCCCCCCCCCCCCCCCCCCCCCTGCCAATACAGACAATGATTCAGATTACGTCACACCAGCACACGGGACGCATCTAGATACTAACTCTGTACTTTGCTGGGGTCAGAGGGGACCCAGAAGTTGAAATTTGTTCACTTCTGACTACCTCACTTTCAAACCCGATTTGAGGTATCTATGGGTACAATGAGTAGAGGTGGCGACGGAGAAAGGTAGCGTAATGAAGGCAGGTGCTCAATCTCTGGACAGCAAGCTGTTTCGCTAGATCCGAGTCATCCATGTAGCGCAGAGTGACTGGCTGAACAGATCGTACTGAAGTACAATGAACAAGAAAAGTAAAAAGGCGACGTGGAGACAATAATCTTAATAATGCAATGAATATAACTAAATGCGCACTCATATCACAACCATGGGGAC